TGTCCCACAGCCTGGCCTGCACCCTCTCCCATCTGGGACCCCTCGGGGGATGTCTGACAGCAGGATCAGGCCTAAACTGGCAGTTGGACATCCCTTTCACAATCCGGGACTGCTGGCTCCTAACTGCTCACCTGACTGCCTGCCTGATTACCTCTAAACACTTCTGCCTGACAGCTTGATCACCCCCTAACTGCTGCCCTGCCAGCCTGATTGATGCCTTTCAGAGAGAAAGGGAGGAGAGAGAGGGAGAGGGAGAGAGAGATAGAAACATCAATGAAACATCAGTGATGAGAGAGAATCATTGATTAGCTGCCTTCTACATGCCCTACAATGGGGAAAGGGAATGTGCCCTTGATTGGAATTGAACCTGGGACCCTTCAGTCCTCAGGCCGATGCTCTATTCACTGAGCCAAACCAGCTAGGGCCTCATCCCTTTTTTTATGCTTTCATGTTTCTCAGCCCCCATGGAGACCAGCCTCTCTCATGACAATTAACACTTTAGTATTGCAGTATAGCCTTTCCTTAATTCTTTGAGATTGTAACTCATAGATTATCGATTTGACTGCAAAGCTGTTTTTCATGCATCCCACTTCATGTATTATGAAATATTGCAAACATAAAATAGTAAGAATAGCCAACACTTACTTTGTGTTGGGCACTGTTCTAAGTTTTTTCCATGTGTTAATGTAGAGTTAGGCAACTCTAAGAACAAACTCATAGATATGTGCTACTACAGATGAGGAAAGAAAGGATCAGAGAGTAAGTAAAATGCCCAAGGCCACATGGACAATAAATGGTGCAGCTGAGATTCAATCTCCTGACACTCAAGTTTCATACCACATAATTTTATCATCTATGATATACTGCTTCTCTAAGAAGTACCAATATAAGAAACTAGATTTAAGATAGTAACATAAAACTGTATCTGTTCCAAATCTTCTTTCTGAAACTAACAAATTATTACCCACACAGTTGATGTCTCTTCTGTATGCCTTTCTATTGAGTGTCTTTCTTTTCTTATTAAAAGTAAATACTATTCAGAAGTTGATATCTATCTCTTACACACATACTTTTATAATCTCACCATATATTTACCTGCTCATATAAAATATGCAATGTTTTTGTTTTCAAAATTTACAGAAATTATTTTAAACTATACATATCCTTGTGTACTTCTCCAAACCCCTTCAATACTGATTTCTAGATTTAGCCAAGTGGATAGATGTAGATCTAATTCATCCCCTTTTAATTTATGAATGTACTATGATTTATTGATATTTATCAACTCCCTTAGCTATGGACATGCTATTTTTTATTTTCCTCATTTGAAACAATGTTACTACAAAGAGCCAACTCCATATCTCCATGGAATTGCTGAGTCATACTCTACCCTACGTATTGAAAATTATTTTCCAAGGTGATAACACCAATTTACATTTACACTGGCACTCTAAGAGAGTTCTTTTGCTAAATCCTTAGTAAAATTGGGGATATATTTTTTAATTGAAAAACTTATTTTTCAATTCTCGATTCTACATGTACACATTAGATTTTGTCCCTGGCACCTAGCACCTAGAACCAATATTTGCTGTGGACGTAGTATCCCCTACTGCATACCTCTCTGTCTTCACTCTCTTTTTGATATGCTGGTTATTTTTACTTGAATTTTGTTAAAATGATTTTTCTTGTCCTTTATAGTTTGTATTTTTTGTATCTTACCTAATAAATTATTCCTATCTTGAAGTCCAGAGGATATTCTAATGTATTTTTCTCTAAAGTTCAGAGATTTGTCTTTACCTTTACTTCCTTAACTGATGTGGAACTGATTCTTATGCATGGTGTGAATCCAATTCTTATTTTTCTCTAATGAATAACCAATTTTCCCAGCACCATTTCTTGGTGCCCATTCTTTCCCGCTGATGTTTAATGTCACTTTTCTCTTAGATCAAATTAGTATATATGTTTCTAGGGCTCTGTATTTTACCTTTTCATTCATCCATTAATTCATCAAATATCAAGAAATTACTCTATGGCAGCACAATTCTTATTTTTTGGGATATAACACTGAACAAAATAAGCAAGAATCTTTGTCTCCTTGTAGCTTAAATTCTTGGACTAGGGGTGGGACAATATATATATATATATATATATAATATAAGAGAGAAGTATATAATACTAGAGGCCTGGTGCATGAAATTCATGCACTGGGGGGTGTCCCTCTGCTTAGCCTGAAACCTATCACAATCTGGGACGCCTCGCTCCTTACTTCTCAGCTCACTATTCCTTAGTGCTGCTGCAAAGGCAGGAGAGGCTCCCGCCACCACCACTGCGCTCGCCAGCTATGAGCCCAGCTACTGGCGGAGCGACGCTCACACTGTGGGAGCACACTGACTAACAGGGGGCAGCTCCTGCATTGAGCATCTGCCCCCTGGTGGTCAGTGCACATCATCGCAACCGGTCGTTCTGGTCGTTCTGCCATCATGGTCTCTTAGGCTTTTTTTATATAGACTAGAGGCCCAGTGCACCAA